GATCAATAGCGGGAGTTATTGTAGCATAGAATTCTTTGCTTGGCATTGCTTTTCAATTCTATTTTTGTAACCCATTGGACCCGCCTGCCATTGATCACCTCACCAGCTCGGATGACCTAAACATGTTTTTTCCACACCCCGTTACATACGCCTATATGAAATTTCCATTTTCCTTTTCCTTTCCTTTCAATTGTTTTCAATGAATTATTTTGTATTTAATTTTTTTTATTAATCTCTCGGTATTTGATAATTACATTGGATCTTGATTAATCGAAATAGAATTGTGTCGGACCTCATAAGGGAAAACTCTCCCAGCATTTATTTTTCTATTCATAAAACTCGAACTCAAAATCTTATTTAAGAGAAATCGAACTCCTTCCACTTGAACTAACAAGTCATTAGTAAATTATTTTGTATTTAAATATTCTTGGCTTTTCAACATTTTGTTCTAATAACTTTTACATACTTTAGTGTTAAGTAATAACAACACTTCTCTATATGTAGCTCATGCACAATACAGATTATAAATAAAAACTTACTTGAATTAATATTGCATAATTTAAAAATATTTGAAATGAAATGTAAATTTCATAGAATTTTTTTTTATCTGCAAATCTCAAAGAAATATAAACAACAAACCATGTGAACAATAATTTAAACATTAGAGGAGTTTGAGCTTCATCCACTAATTATTTTTGTCATAAACTTCTCCAATAACTCAATCAGATGGGACCTAACATGCATTTTTTCACCCCATTGGATACGGTTATTATAATTTTTTTTCTTCACTTTGAAATTTCTTCATCTCTCTTTTTTGTTATGGAGTTATTAAGTTTTGCAAAATAGATGCTAGACATGTCTTTTTCCACATCCCATTGCATACGCTTATATGAAATTTCCTTTTTCCATTTCCTTTGCTTTCAATTGTTTTCTATGAATTATTTCATATCCAATTATTCTTGACTTTCAACGTTATGTTCTACTATCTTTCACACGCTTTAGTACCAACCAATAATGTCCATATACTCGGTCGCTCTTATCTTCCACGAGGAGCATGGGATGCGGATGGCTAATTAAAATGATTGAGCTCCATCGATTTTTCTTTCTGCAAATTATAAGTCTTTCCGTTTGGTTCGGGTGGTGACTGACGAGCAAGTAAACGGGGATGAAGTGTAAATGTCATGGAATTTTTTTTTTTATCTGCAAATCTCAAAGAAATATACAGCAGACCATGTGAACAATAATTTAAACATTAGAGGAGCTTGAGCTTCATCCACTAATTATTTTTACCATTTACTTCTCCAATAGCTCAATTAGATGGGATTTAACATGCATTTTTTCACTCCATTGAATAGGGTTACTATAATATTTTTCTTCACTTTGAAATTTTTTTATCTCTCTTTTTTGTTATGGAGTTATTAAGTTTTGCAAAATAGATACTAGACGTGCCTTTTTCCACATCCCATTGCATACGCCAATATGAAATCTCCATTTTCCATCTCCTTAGCTTTCAATTGTTTTCTATGAATTATTTCATATCCAATTATTCTTGACTTTCAACCTTATGTTCTACTATCTTCCACACGTTTTAATATTAACCAATAATGTCCATATAATCGGTCGCTCTTATCTTCCACGAGGAGCAGGCGATGCGGATGACTAAAATGATTGAGCTCCATGGGTTTTTCATTTTGCAAATTAGAAATCTTTCAGTTTGGTTTGGGTGGTGACTGACGAGCAAGTAAACGGGGGTCAACTTGTACCGACAAAAACAATTGAAGTTGATTATTCCAACATTCTACAAACTTCGGCCCATTTCAGGTCATGGGTCATGGCTGATGCCGCCTTCCATCCTACATTTAAAATTAAATAAAGGTTTTCCACTCACGTGATTTTATCTAAGTATTTATTATATTTTTTTAATAATTAAGTTATATAAAAATAACAAAATTTAATT